GGAAATGTGACTGCTTCATCTTCTCTTCCTCCAGCATGCAGTGCAGCACCCAGCACCCAGCACCCAGCACCCAGCGGCTTATCAAGGTATGTCTGAGGCTCACCACCCCCTGCTGCCTCCACGTCTCCCTTATAGAAGAAATAAGGCCACCTGGGACTCCAAGTCCTCCATTCCTTGGGCTCCACTCAATCAGCATGCATCCTCCCCTACCTGCCCTGTGTCCTGGGAGTGGTGATCTCCTCTAGGCTGAGTCACCCCTTCTCAGGATCTACGCCAGGTTTTCCAGCAAGTTTTCTTCTTCTCATCCTGCCTCTGTGTCCCAAAATCTAGCCCTTCTTTAAATGCATTTAAACATTTTCTGCTAGAACTTTTTTTTTTTTAGACACAGAGTTTGGCTCTGTCGACTGGCTCTAGTGCAGTGGCGTGATCGTAGCTCACTGCAGCCTCAAACTCCTAGGCTCAAGCGGTCCTCCCGCCTCAGCCTCCTTGTAGCTGGAACTACAGGTGTGCACCACCACTTCTGGCTATTTTAAAAATTTTTTTGTAGACATGGGGGTCTCACTATGTTGCCTGGGCTGGTCTGGAATTCCCAGTCTCAAGCCATCCTCCCACAGTGTTAGTTACAATGCGGGCATTAAAGGCATTAGCCACCACACCCAGCTTCAGCTGGGACACTTAATCTGTACAGTACTTCACTATGTTGTGGCTATTTCTTAGTAAACATCAAAGAGAACTGCTGCTTTTGTTCAAGTGCAGAGTCCTCTCAGCATCCTCTTGGTTTTCACATACCTTCTGAAGGCCTTTCTGAATTTTTTTCACATGCCTAAAAGCCAGTGGGGTTTTGCACAGGGACTGCAATGGCTGAGTTCAAGGCAGAGAGACATAATAATAGTTGTCTATGAACCACTTGGCACCTTAAGTTTATCACCTTGATAAATAAATAAGCTATCATTTTCTGTGGACCCCATTCTTGAGTAGTCATGGTGAGCTCCGTAGCCCACACTCTCTTTCTACTTATAACTTACAAAAATTTTACCTAAGAGTATTTACTTGACCACTTTAATTCAAGTTGGACTCTACCTAAGACATTTAATTCAACAAATATGGGCCAGGCGCGGTGGCTCACGCCTGTAATCCTAGCTCTCCAGGAGGCCGAGGCAGGCGGATTGCTCGAGGTCAGGAGTTCAAAACCAGCCTGAGCAAGAGCGAGACCCCGTCTCTACTAAAAATAGAAAGAAATTAATTGGCCAACTAATATATATAGAAAAAATTAGCCGGGCATGGTGGTGCATGCCTGTAGTCCCAGCTACTCAGGAGGCTGAGGCAGGAGGATCGCTTGAGCCCGGGAGTTTGAGGTTGCTGTGAGCTAGGCTGACACCATGGGACTCACTCTAGCCTGGGCAACAAAGTGAGACTCTGTCTCAAAAAAATAATAATAATTCAACAAATATTTATTAAGCTCCTCTGTAAAAGGACTGTGACAACTTTCTGTCCTTTCATAGGATATCCAAACTCATCTTGCAAGATAGTTCCCATGTCTTGCTACTGCATTACCTAAAAGAGCTAAGTGCCAATCATGTGCATAAAGATTCCTACTGTTTAAGTTCTCTTAAATCATTTCTGAAAATATTTAGTAAGCCAGTGCCTTATCCTTTGTAGGAATATTCCCCCCAAGATGGTTTAATTTTATGTGTCGAGCTGGCTGGGCCCCGGTGCCCAGATATGTGGTCAAACATTCTTCTGGATGTTTCTATGAAGGTGTTTATGGATGAAATTAACATTGAAATGGGTGGATTCTGAGTAAAGCAGATTGCCCCCATAATGTGGGTGGGCCTCATCCAATCAGTTGAAGGCCAAACGCTGACCTCCCCCCCCCCCTCGGCGCAGGAGGGACACTGCTGAGGATGGCCGCCTCGTAGCTTTGGCTCTCACCTGGGTCTCCAGCCTGCCGGCCCACCCTGCAGATGGGCTTGCACATGAGCCTACACCTTAAAAGAAATCTCTTTGCACACAATGCACACCCTATTGGTTCAGTTTCTATGGAGAACCCTAATACACCCCCATTCACCATTCAGGTTTTTGAGGGGAAGATGCCGTCTTGGCAGCAGAGGACATTCTGGGTGGGGCTGGGAGATTGTTGGAGATTCTGACCGGCATCCTCTCCGGGGAAGGGATGGAGGGAGGGTCCGCTACTTCGGAGTTCTATAGAGCGATCCTCCTGCGGCAGCGGGCAGCTCAACTACCATCTCGTTAGGTGGCACAGGAGTTTGATTCATGACTAGGGATAGGACATGGGGGGAAACAATCCCCGGGAGAGCTAGGGGAAGGAAGTGGGCCTCTCATGATAGAGCCCCAGAGCAACCACAGAAATCATGTAGGCCTCTGAGAAGGCATCAAGAATTCATGCAATTCGATTCATTGATTTAAAATGCGTTGAAGTTTCACGTTCAGGTTCCACTGTGTATTTTGGGTGCGTTACTCTGTGCAGTTATTTCATCCAAGACCAGAGGAGGCTGCAGATCGCCTACTCCATCCACATTAAAACCCTTCTCGCCACATGGGTGCTGGCACGACACAGGAACAAGCAGTATCTACCCTGCCCTTCCACCAGCGATGCCAGTCCTTACTGCCCACCGAGAGCAGTGACGCTTCCTTCCACGCCTGGAGCCCACGCTATGCCCGATGGACGCAGTGAACGGGCTGCCACAGACGTGCGTGCACACTTTTGTGAATCACTTTATGTTTTGAAGACACTATTTCAAGGAGCCTTTACAAGTGTCCCATTTCTAAATGTCACAAGGCATTCTGATTTAAAATCATAACCTCTGTCTAATGTACTAGCTTACAAAGTTCCATAGTTTTTTTTGCCTGGGGGGTTTAATTAAAGCAAGATAAAACTATACTTAACAACATTCAGTTGCCCGAAAGAGTTATTACAGAAAATGCCTAATGGATTACCAGAAAGTCTCTTAATGTCTCAAATAAAATGTCAAGTTGTCCAAATCAAACTGATAGGCAACTTAATAAGGGGTAAATGTCACAATTATTCATATTTTTACATCTTTTTTCTTTAAAAAAAAAAGAAAACATTCACACAGTGAAGGGAATCAGAATCTGTTTTTATATCCCTAGAGTTATAAACATTTGTATCAAAATATTTACAATTATAGCATATGAAATAATCTATGAATGAAAAAGCCAAATACAGTACTAGAACAACCCACCAATGTAATGCAAATTACATGAGACATAAATGTCACAGAAAAAAAGTAAAAGACAAGGGAATACATGGTTTACTCCAGTCATAGTTCAGTTTCTTAACAAGACGTGAGTATCTCTTTTGGATATATCTGATATGTAAGTATACTTCTGCACATAAGACAGCCTTCTATAATCATGTGATAATTCAATCGTAATTAAAATGTTCATCATCCCACAGTTTTTTGCTGGCAAATCTCTCTAATCCCAGCCCAGGTAATTCGGTAAACCTGCCTTCAACATTTCCTTAACCAGAATAAACACAGAGAAATATACTTAGTAATAGTCCCTTTACATAAATACCAGCAATCATGGCCTAACAACTCCCCAAATAGGAAAGGTATACAAGAAATGGATTGAGGAGAAAACTAATGAAGAAAAGTAGGCAAGATATCTCAGATTCTCCCTGGGGTAGGTCTTCTTCTCAGGGTAATAAAGGAAATGTCTTCCCCCCCCCCCCAGAAAAATCCCTTTAGGCAGAATCTGAGATGGCTTATAATAGCTGCTCCAGAGCAGAGGGGTGCCTGCTTAACCAGGAATAACATACTACTTCTAAGTCCTATAGAGAGATGCTCCTGCGGCCGCAGCCAGCTCAACTACCATCTGACTAGGTACCACAAGAGTTTTTGCCTTTTTTTCTCTTTCTAGTCTAAAGAAAATATCTGCCCATCACCTGCACTTTGATTTATCTCATGGGATTATCTTATTTTCCTGGGAGCACAGGCATTTTGTTCCTATCATGACTGATATATAGTATGCTTAATACTTCACAATTATATAGCACCTTTCACCCAAGGGCCTGTTGTTTGGTTTTCATTTGGTGTGTGTTTTAATTAGCTTCCAGAAGTGCCACGCCTCACCTGTGACATGGTACAGGTGGGGCCTCTAAGAGGTGACCACTTCAGCCAGGTGTTGAAGCTAGAGCCACTACTGAGCCTAGAAGCCCGGTTCCCCAGTATGGATAATTAGACACAACTTACTCAAAAGTTTATGACGTAGAGGAAGAACTGTAACATAATTGTAGGGTTGTGTTACAAGGATCCACGTCCATCTCTCTCCTGTCCTATACTTAAAAGATACATTGACTGCATTGAGGGGAATCCTAAAAACATAACCCTAACATAGTACTGTTGTAAGAGTGCCCCCTGGGTCCCCTAGTTTGTGTGGTGCTTTCATTAGTGGCTTCAGAGAAACTCCCGAAGAGCTGCCTTGGTTTTAAGCGAGAGGCCCAGCAAAGTCCATGGCAAGAGGGCTCCAGGAAGGACAGCCATGTGAGGTCCGGTCTGGGCTCTGACCAGCCCCCAGGCCTTCCACTGGGAAAAGTTCTCTCTCTTGGTTTAGCTAACCCACCAACTCGGCCTAATAAACCTCTCTGCCTCCCATTTTGTCATCACTGAATTCCACAGAGCTGAGTATCTGTTCTCAAAAGGGACAGCGGCTTGCTGGCCAAAGCCCTCCAGGAGGCCATCTCTCTCCTGTTCTATACTTCGGACCGGAATGTGTGATGTCCTGCTTTGGGTCAGAAGGGGGATGGCTTCCGGGCTCAGCACATTCAGCACAAAGGCAATACCTGCTCTTGCCCAAACGTGTACCGCTATTTTAACTTGGTGCAGTAGGTGTGTGGACCTCAGTGCATGACCCAGAATCCACCCTCAGAAGTGGAGCCCGCCTGTGTGGGGTGGCTGACGGGCCCCAGGCAGTGCGAGTGGCTGAGGACAGCTGGAGGCCAAGCCTGGCGCTGGAGGGAGGCTCTCGGCCCGCACCAGGGAGCACCAAAGTACTAGCCAACGACTTCCGCCCAGGGCAGGGGCTTGGCAGTGGAGAATCTCCTCAGTAATGGTTTGGGTTTTGGCCTCTTCCCACTTCCTCCCCCCTCCCCGTCCCCTCCCCCATCTTGGTTTTTCCCTATAGCATCTTCCGCTTCCCTCCCAGGTTCAACAGTCCTCCTCCCCCCGCCCCCAGATCCCCGTGAACGTGTTCAGCCCTATTTCTTTCTCAGGACCAGGTAGAGAATGCCGATGATAAAGCTGAAGCAGAAGCAGATCCAGGTCAGGATGAAGCAATAGCCGTGGTGCGAAGTCGACGGGAAGTAGTTTGAAGTGGTGTTTGCGTAATGGTGAGTGTAGACAGATGCCCCGATCATAATGCATAGCCCTGCAGGGGGAGGGAAAAGATGTGTAAGTTTCTGTTAAAATCAAGGCAAAGTTTTTTATAATTTTAAAGATCCTATTTCCCTCCTTTGCAATAGGAAAACAAACTATGATTGTCTCTGTCTAAACAGTAGTTCTGTTGACTTGCCCTGGACCAAGCTTGATGGGTGTGCTGATAAATGAGTAGTGTCTGGGCTCCCGTATCTTCCCTGGTTTATGTGGCTGCAAATGGGAAGCAAAACACAGAACACCAGGCCTGCCACCCAGCTGTCCCATCTGCGCCCCAGCATGGCTAGGCAGGCTCTTCAGGGAGCCTTCCACCAAGTGGGGTGCATTGGGGAAGAGTGACAGGAGAATGGGAATCGCAAAAACCGCATGCACTGTGGCAGTGGACCCCACCTCCTCCGAGTGCCTCGTGTACCTGGCTACTGCTGGGAGTGTCCCCCACTTGGTACCTGCCCAGGAGCACTGCTTTTAGACAATGAAGCAAAAGAGGGTTCTTAATCTAAAGTCCTCCACAAGAGAGCAAATAACCAGAGGAGAAAAACGTCCAAGGCAGTTTCTCTGAGCCCCATGTGCTCATCTGTTCGAGTTGCCAGGAGCACCCGTGGTAAAACCGACCTGCGGGCTTCCCCTGCACAACCTGGAGCCTGCCCTGAGATACTCACAGCACACCAGCATGGTGGCTCCCGAGAGAAGGAACCGGTTTCCCTTCTCCATGGTGAAGAGCTGGAACACGAAGACCAGGAGGGCGATGACGGAGAAGATGATGGACAGAATCATGAAGGCCTGCACTGTCTTGAGGGCATCTGTGGATGCAGGTGAGGAGAACAACCACGTTAGGCCACCCCAGGGGCTGGACGTGTCCCTGACCACAGCACTGCATCCATATCTTTGTACGTACCCTCATTGCCGTATGGCAGGGTGCCGTTACAGCTGCCCGAGACACAGTATTTCCAGAGACCTACAGATGCATCTACGCCATCTGAAACCATCCAGACCTAAAAGCAGAAGGAAAGAAAAAGTGGATTGAAAACTGACCCTCTAGCCTCGCATGCGCGGTGGCTCAGGCCTGTAATCCTAGCACTCCGGGAGGCCGAAGTGGGCAGATTGCTCGAGGTCAGGAATTCAAAACCAGCCTGAGCAAGAGCGAGACCCCATCTGTACTATAAATAGAAAGAAGTTAATTGGCCAACTAATATATATATATAGAAAAAATTAGCTGGGCATGGTGGCACATGCCTGTAGTCCCAGCTACTCGGGTGGCTGAGGCAGGAGGATCGCTTGAGCCCAGGAGTTTGAGGTTGCTGTGAGCTAGGCTGACGCCATGGCACTCATTCTAGCCTGGGCAACAAAGTGAGACTCTGTCTCAAAAATAATAATAATAATAACAATAATAATAATAATAAATAAAAACTGACCCTCTGCTTTAAAACGAAAATAGCAGATCACCTTGTGCCAGGACCAAATCTTAATCAAGACACTCTATTTAGCCAGAGATATGGCTAAGCAGACTGTCTCCGGATGGAAATAGGTCTGATTAAAACTGAAGTCACAAAGGTCCCAAGCGATAAGAAAGAAAATGTGAAACCTGCGAAAACAAAAATCACCTAGCCTCTCTGGGCTTCACGTCCTTCGTGACTTTAACAAAAAATGGGAATAATTTAACCATAGTGATTTAAAATTCTAAGGTTCTAAGAAAGAGAAAGCCTGGATAAGGACATTGGTTTTAAGGATGCACAATTCATGCCCTCTATCAAGACTGATTCATTGAAAGGCCTGGCTAACAAGGGGAAAAAAGGAAAAATGACTAACTGGAGATGACTAAGAAACCTAAGAGCTACTGGGAAAAGCGCAATGAGTCTGGGTGGTCAGTAAGCAGCTTTCGTCTAAACAGAAGGATCAAATTTGACTGTCACAAGATGCAGAGCAATTTCATAATAAAATAGCACAGCAAGAGCTTTCCTGTGGGGGCAGCTGGAAGTGGAAGGGTGACCAGAACAGATTCCCCCAGGCATCCCTTCCTTCCTGGCCCAAAGAAAACAAATGCAGGGTTCCATCTACATACACACACACACACACACAGACACACACACACACACACGCGCGCATGCATAGGCACACGCTGGAAAGGCAGGGCCAAGGACATGCGATCACCTGCTCTCCGTTCAATAAACCGTGTGCTGAGCCCTACATTAGGGGCTGATAACTCACAGATACGCAGCACTGTGGCTCCCATTCATACCCTTTAAAGGAGTTTATCAGACTTATCCTGAGAGATATAGGAGCCGACATACAGAATGACTAAATTACAAAATCTGGAGGAGGCCACAGGGCAGGGGTTGTATCTTATCACAGTTATGCTTAAATTAGCTTTGCTCGTACTCGCAGCCACGTGCATTTCCAAAGCTTGTCTGAACTTTAAAACCTGTTTATCCTTTAACTGTTAAAGGGACCTGAGCAGATTCTGGAACCATCGTTTGCCTGTCTGTCTAGTGACTGGTGGCCTTGGTTTTTAAGTCCTAGGAGCTGTCTTGTTTTTCCTGAGAAAAGCACAAGAAATGCAAATGGGGCGCTATCAACTGCCACTAGAGGTCAGAGTAGCCCAAGGTTCAGACAGAAGAGACTATCGCTGCGATCACAGGATATTTTTATGTAGTTTTTGTCTGAGTTAATTCAGCGGCACCAGGTAAATCTTGCAAAATTTCACCTTCACATGCTACTCTCCACTTAAAACTTGAATTCGTCGGTGTGGCAGTCAATCCCCCCTCACTCTTTCTTTCCCATCCATCCTCCTAATCCAAGTTCCCTGCAGGAAGGGGCGTTCTGCTCCAGCCACGTGAGTGTCCTCGTTATGCTGTGACCAAAGCTGGTGCTTCCCACATGTGCCCCTGTGCTAGTACCCGCACCTGGAAGGCGTCCCTGTGTTCTTTCCACCGTCCGTCTTTCACTGAAGTGAACCTCACCGGTCTGCTGGTCCTCCAAGTTCACCTCCAGCTCCTCCAGAGGCTGAAGAAGCCCCATTGTATCCTCCAACCTCTCAATGCCCACAGTCCTGGCAATGTCACTCATAGGGACACTCTTGCTATTAATTGTTTGAAGTACAAGTGTGCGTTTATTTCCCCCCCCCCACAACTAAGCTGTAAGTTCACAAAAGACAAGAATGATGGCTTGAACTCCTTTTGTAGTACTTGATGCAAATATTCGAGTGATTTATTTTTTTTAATGAATGAGAGAACAAAAGAACATTACTCACGTTGGCGATGGTGGAAACAAACAGCATAATAACAGTGGCGATGTGGACCACAAAGATGCCAGCCAACAACACCAACATCTTGGCTTTTTTGGTAACTCGTGAACAAAGAGAGATCTGAAAAGAAAAAGAAAGGAACAAAAAGGTCACCGTTGGATTCAGTGAGACAATTCAGCATTCCCACATGTGTGGGCTATCTGCTAAAATGGGGAAGATTTGCAATAAAACCATCAAAAATTCCTGAAAACACCTCATTAACCTAGCTCTGATATGCCTAAGTGCTTGTTCATCTATTTCCATATACCTAAATGTAAACATAATTCGGTTTCTTCTCAGGTATCTACCTACTCATTTCTCTAATACAGCCTATTTCAAAAAAAAGAAGTACATTTTATGATAACTGTTCGTATTTTATTTTGTTTGTGTGTCAGAGGCCAAAAGTAGGACTTTGATTTTCAAAGGGCCTTTGTAATTTTCAGGTCTCTGTGCAAAAATGTCATAGAAATTTCCATTTTCCACTAGGGACGTGTCCATGCTTCCATCAAATTGCTCACGCAGCAATTTTAGTAGAAGTGAATGCCTTCTGCAGTATAGCAACTATCACTCCATGCCCGGAGACTGAATAGGCTACTAATTTGATCTTGGATGAGCCATAAAATGTGAGAGACACAATTTCTATTATAATAATGCTGTTTGGTTTTTGATAATTATAACAACCTAATCACAGTTTAATGTTCTGGTCACCTACTGATTGAACATTTCAGACGAGTACTCCTCACCTGAGCCTTTGGGCTCTGTGCGTGCCCGCTGGTAGGAAGCCTGCTATTGGTCTGGGGCAGAGCGTTATATTTCCTACAGCTCAGTGTGACCGTTCTCAGGGCTTCAAACACCTGCAGCTTGAGATGCCACCAAATGTGCCTTCTACTTGTGCATGACATTTACACAAATTCCAGTCCTTCAGGACTCAATACACAAGACCGTCAAATGCATAAATCGCAGGGTGGGGGGACTGGGAACTGATATTGGTTAACAGCGTGCCTGCTTTCAGCCATAATCTCAGCAGAGCTGAAGAAGGGAGCCCATTGATCATAAAGCCTAGAAAATAAAGGAAGTGTGAAGGACTCAGCGGGGCAGGCCACTCTGATTTATGTCAGCTGCAGAAGGAGCGCTTTGTCACGCCCAAGACAGTTAAAATGCAGTGCAGGCTCCCAAGGGACATCAAAAAGGAAAGGGCTTGAGGTTATTCACGCCCTAGGCAGAATGGGGGTGTGCATGCCCCCAGCTCAGCAGGAGATGGTCCAGCACACCCTGCAATTGTCCCACTGTCACTGTCCCACCATCTTTCTCTCTCCACCTCATTCAATTGACGCTTTGAGTGTGCTCCAGCCCTTTTGTGCCCTACCAGGTACTTATTAGAGAGCACTGATACCGTTGCTCCAGCACTACTGGTGCCCTTTCTCTCCTCTCACTTTCCTCCCCAGGAGCTCAAAAATCTAGAATGATCTACTGTACACCAGGGGGCCTTGCTCTCTGCAGGCAAGGAACAGAAGGAGAGGCAGACTGGGGCTTCTGCCACCCACCCTGACCCGCCCCAACGACCTTTTCCCAAGCTGGGCACTTCCCTCCAAGCCTGGCTGTTTTGCAGGAATGTGTCCCATTTCACCATGAATGCAGAAATGATGGCATTTATCCTGCTTCCTCGGGGGAGAGCTTGGAGCGTTCGTGTCTGCTATTAATAATCTCCCCACACACTCAAATTCATTTCTGCTTTGCTCAGGTCCCTACACACCTCCACAATTTTCTCCCTGATTTTACTGCCCAGTGAGAAGAGGTGTTTGGATCAGACAAGAGGTTGGGTTAGAATCATACGCAGTTATTGGACGCAGCTCAGTCTCAGTTTCCTCATATGCAAAGTAGAGGCTGCAATGTCAATTGTACAGGGAAGTATGAGGATTAAACTGGATTATATATGTAAAGCACCTAGCATGGTGTCTGGCACAAGGCAGGTACTCATAATGGGGTTGTTCCCGTCGTGGGAGGTGTTATTACTGTTGTTCATAAGGGAAGCTCGAGTGTGTAGCTGTTGCCAACCCAGCCCAGTTACTTAATCGGCAGGCTGCTCCACGTTCAGTGCAAGTATTAATAATAACACATCCGCTATCTCGTTCATGAGGCGGTGTGTATAAAATCACTCTGGTCCTCTTAGAAACTGTCACTTTGTCTAACCTTGAGTGGGGAGACCAGTGAGAGGACACCCTCGGGGATGACCAGGAGAAAGTTCGCTCTCTCAGCCCATCCTCCTACCAGCCCCCAGCGTCACACCTCACCAGACCCTGATCCCTGGGACACTTAACTTACAGGAAAGGGACCAGCTGACTGCAGGGAATTACTGGCAGGGAATATTATATAACGAACGAGTGCTTACGTGCAATCTTCTTTGGGCTCTTTAAAAGACTTTCTTATTCCTTTTGCTTCAGATTTACAAACATCCTCCTCCTAACAGTGGGAAGTGGTTGAGGGGCCAAGAATGGAATAAGATACGCCAAGTGAGGCCACTTCACTGGGTGGCAGAGCACAGCTCCCTCCCTGACAAGCTGTTGGGAATTCCAAAGCATTTTGTCTCCTCGGGCTGCTGTCTAACCCAGTAAAGTAGCATCTGACTTCCTCTGCCCAGCTCACACTCGCCCTTTGGTTTGATTTATTTACTTCTTCATTTATTTATTGTTAGAGACAGGGTCCCACTCTGTCGCCCAGGCTGGAGTGCAGTGGCGTCATCATAGCTCACTGCAGCCTCGAACTCCTGGGCTCCTGGGCTCCTGGGCTCAGGCGATCCTCCTGCCTTAGCCTCGCAAGCAGCCAGAGCTGCAGGTGTGTGCCACCACGCCAGGCTAACGGTCTCCCTTTTGCTGACCCCTCTGGCTGGGCTGTGTGCTGTCATAGCAAAGAAGCAACTCTCTTGTCATCTCAGATTCTTGTGATCCTGCTGTGTCTTTTCACCGAGGAAAGGACCAAAATGTCTCAGATTAGCAAATGTTCTTATTGCACAAGACACACAATTCTGTTCTTGGCTGCTGTGCCCAGCCAGAAGGAGGGGCTGTTCAGCTGGAGCTATCGCATAATACATGTCACTTCTCCATCTTTTCACTGCCCACATTCGCCAGGTCTTATTAGTATCATCCACTGCTAGCTTAGAGGGGCTTCCATTATTTTCGGTGGCCTTCCCCCAACACTTGTGAAAACAGAGTGAATTTTTTAAATTTCTAGGCTGGATCATCACTAGGATCATCACCCAGCCTCCATACTGTACCAGAGAGATTCCCCCACCTCACCCAACAGAGAAACCCCCAGTCTGCAGGGAGGCGACCTTTGGGCTCTCCATGGAGCACCGCCAATGGTACCTAGTGGGTGAGAGTCTGGGAATCCATCACACAGCAGAGTAGGATAACAGAAGGGCCCGTGCTCTTGAGACTTCCGCCCACCGTTACTTGCAGCACAGCCTGCGAGGCTCATTCCCTTACCCACTGTGGGTGCTGCTTCATACAGGCACTGAGCAAGACCACTTATGAGCGTGTATATCATCGGAAGTATTGGCTGCCACGACTTTCTTCCTTAGCAGTATGTTTCACTAAAACAATACTAGACTTCTCCCTCACACCTCTCCAAGAGGCTACGGGTGGCACTGACCAGTGGAAAGCGTAGCCTAGTCACAGCTGGGCAGCTCACACCAGGAGGCAGAGCATAACAGCACTGCAATTCTGAATACTCCGGAGCAAGAGCATCTGGTGCACTGGGCAGTCCCAAAGCTTGTCATTCATTGGTTGTTGGGAACTCCCATAACAACAATATTTATTTGTGGTGCTTAGACTCCCCTATCTAGGCCACCAGAGCGGGTCAATTCGTCGTGGGCTTGAAGGGTAGGTCATCTGCTGACTTTTAGGTGGGATGCCAGGAACAGGTTTCTGCGTCCACCACTGCAAGCAGAGCAGGGTCTGCCTCTTGTGCCTCACCTCCCCAATGTGCTCGGCACAGGGGTGGTCAGGGGCCAGGTGAGAAACTGAGGAAGGTACAGGAGGCATGAGCGTTGACTCAGAGAGAAGTGATTGTGCAGAGAAATGGGGATCCACACCATGGAGCCACACACAGCTCTCCGATGTCCCTATGCTGTTCCCTATGCTGTTCTTTCTGCCTCATGCCTGCCGGTTTCCTTCCCACATCACGAGCTCCTGTTTCTGACCCGTCTCTCCCTTTCTCCCGCATCGCCCAGGCCACTGCAGCAGCAGCCCCTTTGTGCTCCTGGCTCCGGTGCAAGCCTCACAACCACTGACCATTCTGAATTTGGATTCGGTTCTTTGCTATTAGAAAATGGACTATCGTCAGTAGACGTAACCCTGAGCATGACAATTGCTGGTGACTGTAGCTATAAAGCACTAACGAATGTGGGGGAGGGGGAAATAGAGGGTGAGAGCACCATCTTCAGTTGTCTCCGTCCATTTAAACCTTTATTGGCTTCTTGCCTCCCTCTGGCACCTCCCCACCCCACACATGAAATGAAAAGAATCAAAGGAGGATGACCCGGAGGCTGCCTTTGCCTTTGTTCAGGTAGCCGAACAGTCTCAGGGTGCTCTGCCCAGTGAGAAGTTAATCAGACCCCTGTGGGAGCCTCCCTTTTCTGATGGGAAACCAATTCTGCAGCAACTGTGGAGAATAATTGGCTTCTAAGGAACAGCGGGGAAATTCAGAGGTGCATAATAATCTGGCTCCGTGTGTGCTAAGCTAGGGGTCAGAGAGCTCCTTCCTGTTGTGGAGTCTGTGTGCCGATGGAGCTGCCACAGGCGTCTGGGGGAAGCGGTTCTCCCAGGGTGGTCCAAGGCGCAATGACTGGAAGCATCACAGTAGAACAGAGCAGCCAAAAACCCACTGCTGGGGAAGGAAGTGGTGGGGATCCAGGGGCCTGAGTCACTGAAGAACCAGCCTGAGCCTGGGGGCTCAGAACCAGGGGCCTGGACAACGTGAACGGCGGGGGAGTCTCGCAAGGCTCAGATTTCTATGATTCATTTGTGAGTGGGTGAGTCTCCCGCATGGAAAGGCAATGAATGTGCAGGCCGCGTCTACCAGGC